AGGCTCCACCCCCATCCAAATGCCATGCTTGAACCATCATCTCCTTTGGAAAGACCTCTCTTACCCTCTAAGACAAAGGCTGGGATTCATTAGGCCTGAGTGTTGCCTGGCAGGCCTTGACCCCCTCAAGAGAGGAAGGAGGAGGTGGGAGGGGTACAAGGACAAAGGAGCGTGAGGGGCAGGGTGGCCAGCAGGGTGTGAAGGGCACTCTTAGGCAGGTTGCGAGCAGGAGGAAGATGAAACAACTGGAGGTCACCCTGCTTCTTTCTAGGCTAGCTCAGCTCCCCTGGTCCCTTCTCTGTTCTCCCCCCTCTCTGAGGTATGTTTTCTGTTTCCCACAGACACCGAGCAGCCGGGGGAGGTGTCAGCCTTGGGGCAAGGCCCTGCACGAGTTGGGGCAGGGCCAAGTTGCCGGGGGCAGCCGGGAGGGCCATGGGGGGAGAGCCCATCCAGCGGCCCCTCCAGCCCAGAGAGCAGTGAGGATGAGGGACCAGGTCGCAGCTCCAGCCCCCTCCGCCTGGTGCCCTTCTCCAGCCCCAGGCCCCCCGGAGACTCCCCAGGTGGGGAGCCTTTGACGGAGGAGGGAGAGAAAAGCAGTGACACCTGTAACCCCTTGTCAGGTAGGGCCTGCGCTGGGGGAGGGGTGAGTGTGGGGGATGAGCAGGAGCTTGCCTGTTTTCCTGGATCTCATGCCTTCTCTCTGGCTTCAGGTGCCTTCTCTGGAGTGTCCAATATTTTCAGCTTTTGGGGGGACAGTCGGGGGCGCCAGTACCAGGAGCTGCCTCGATGCCCTGCCCCAGCTCCTAGCCTCCTCAACATCCCCTTGTCTAGCCCTGGTCGTCGTTCTCGGGGCGACGTGGAGAGCAGGCTGGATGCACTCCAGAGGCAGCTGAACAGGTGAAAGGGGTAGCTCAGGGAAGTGGGCGCAGGGCAGGCTGAACCGTGGGAAAACTTGGGTCTTCTCTGGGTTCCTGGTGATGTTTTAGGGCTGTTCTGTGGGCAGCCGGGGCCGCTCCTTCCTCAGCTGTCTCCACTTCCCTGAGTGTTCTCCTTCCTTTTTGCCCCAGGCTGGAAACACGGCTAAGTGCAGACATGGCCACTGTCCTACAGCTGCTCCAGAGGCAAATGACCCTGGTCCCTCCCGCCTACAGTGCTGTGACCACTCCTGGGCCTGGCCCCGCTCCCACATCCCCTTTGTTGCCTGTCGGCCCTGTTCCCACTCTCACCCTGGACTCGCTTTCTCAGGTACACTCTGGAGCCCACTCCCAGCCCCCAGCCCCCTTTCTGCTCCAGCAATCACTTTATCACCTCCCAGCTGGCGTGAAGTGTGGGCTTTTTACCCTCCCCTATCCTTGTCCACCTGTTCCCTGCTTTCCTCCTACCCTTGTGCTCAGGAGCAATGCATGAGAGGACTGGGACCAGGGACCCTGCCAGCAGAGTGGCCTAAGGGCCAGGTGCAAACTTGGTGTCTTAGCCTGGGACTTGGGTCTGGATGCTGCCTGCTAGTGTGCCTCGGGGATAGCATCCTGGTCTCTGCTGTGGTTACACTCCTAGCCTCCCTGCCTCTCGTCTTGGCTGGCAGTGTTACAGACTATCTTGAAGGCTGCTGGCATTCCCAGGGTGCCAAAGTCAAGACTCTGAGATACGACCTCCTTGATCTCCATCTCTTCTCTTTGAGTAACCTCCTGAGGGACAGCTGAGGCTGGGTCTCTCATGCCAGCTCCTGCTCTGAAGGGTGCTTGAGGGGGATTTCTGTGGCTCCCAGAGGTGGCCTGGGATCTCCTCTCAGTCCCCTGGCACTGCCCTCCCTCCCATATGCTGCTTGTTTCTGTTTGCAGACGCCAGGGCCCACGTCAGCAAATGTGCCAGTCTCCCTTCACAGCCTCCCACGCAGGGATCTCACCAGTAGACACGTCAGCACACACAAAGCCCCCCTGCCTGCCCTGGCGCTCTCCCTTGCCTCAGATGCCTGGCCGCTGGCCCACTGCTGTTTCCAGGGCCCCAGAGTTCTTTGGAGAATTGCAAGAAGGCACCGTGTCTCTCTTTGTCCCAGCTCCCATCCCAAAGCAGAGACTTCTTATTCCATTTGGGGCTTGTCTCTAGCTGCCCTGCCACATTCCCTAGGGAAGGGGAAGGTGAGGCTTTGGGCTCTTCCCTGTGTCAGGGGTTCTCAGCTCTTTTGTTTGGCTCCTGCCCCAAAGGTGAATTTCTTTACTTCCAGCTGCAGACTTTTTGTCCCCTCAGGTCTCTGCTCTGCCCACCTAACCCTCCTCTTTGACTTCAGCATTCCTGCATTTGGTTTCTCCACCCCTTTTCTCCTCCCCCACAGTTTTTCCTGTTGCTTATGCTCTGTGTTCTTTGCAGGTTTCCCAGTTCATGGCGTTCGAGGAGCTTCCTACAGGAGCCCCAGAGCTCCCACAAGATGGCCCCACTCGACGCCTCTCCCTGCCTGGCCAGCTGGGGGCCCTCACTTCCCAGCCCCTGCACAGACATGGCTCAGACCCAGGCAGTTAGTGATGCTGACCAGTGTGGACATATGGCTCACCCAGGGTTCAGGGCATTACCTGACCTCTTGGAGACCCTGGTTTGGAGGGGAGAACAGTGCAGGAGCAGCTTCTCCCTGCCCTTGGGACCAGAGTCTCCTCCTGCAATACCCTGGGCCCTACTGGGAGGGGCAGGGGCAGAGTTGGGCAGTGGACAGGGGGTCTGTGGTCCCCCCACTGCCCTGGGGGCATTAGCTGGTCTAACTGCCCGGAGTCACCCGGCCCTGGGCCTTAGGCACCTCAAGGACTTTTCTGCTATTTACTGCTCTTATTGTTAAGGATAATAATTAAGGATCATATGAATAATTAATGAAGATGCTGATGACTATGAATAATAAATAATTATCCTGAGGAGACTCCAGTATGCTGGTTTACTTCAGCCGTCACCTGCTGTATCTTGCATTTATGATCTGCATGTACCTGAGTGGGAGTACGGGAGATTCGGTGCTGGGACCCTGGTTTGTCTATGTCCAGGGCCTGCAGGCTGACCAGACATCTTCCCCCGAACCCTGTGTGTGCATGAAAGCTGGAGGGTACTCCCTGGGGTCAGATAATATAGCCCTGGATTCGGGACAGCAAAGCCATGAGGACTACTCTGAGTCTAATAGGAACTTCTGCCTTGAGTTCAACCCTTCACAATCATGTCGATTTGCTCTGTGGCACACTGGCTCCCAAAGTCAGTCTCATACTGATGAAGCCATTCGCTTGTCCCTCTCGAGTCCCTCACAAGTCCAGTTTCACACTCATTCTCACCTGGGTTCTCTTTGGTCTGAGTTCAGCCTCCCTACCCCAAATTGGCTTTATATTGACCCTGTGTAATTGGGCTTCACACGGGTCTAGCTTTGCTTTGGATACACTGGCTTCCTCACTGTGACCAGCACATACGTGTATCTGGCTCCTGATAACCTTTGTCCCTTGTGACTGTTGGCCACAGAGGAGTTGCCGAAGAAGGGGGAGGTGGCAAGGTTGCTCATTCTATTGGGAGAAAGTCAAAGCAGATCTCCTGGGGACAGTGAAGGTTCCCCTATGCTTATGTGTACATATTGTGATGCATTTGTGTTGCTGGGCTATGAACACATCTTCCAGAGATGCTGCCTGCCATATGGCAGCCAAAGTGGTGGTAGTGGTGGGCCCTGCCTGGTCAGGCTGGCTCATAGGTGACAGTGCTGCCAAAGGCTACCAGAGCCCAGATGGGTTTTCGAGACTCCTCACCTCCTCTGTCCCTTTAAGGTAGGTATGCTAACTCTGAAGACAAGCATGGCTTTTCTTCCTGCCAAGACATGGTGGGTATTGGTCTCTGAGCAGCCTGGAGACTCTCCCAGCACCCAGATAGGGGGAGAGGAGGAGTGTCTCACCTTAATCTGAGTCTGTCAATGTTGGGAAGAGATAAGAAGAGGAGACTTATGATTTCAAGGTTGAGAGAGGGAACAGAGGGGTGGGCTAGGCCAAAAGGGAAGCTTTGGGCGTCACGTTGGCACACCTGTACATGTCCAGACACTTACTGGGGTGGACAAGCTTCTGGTTGGAGATAAGGATTTCATATAGGCCTTCCTGGAGGGTTGGTATGTGAGTTCAGGAGTGGGTCTTACTGTGGGAGGCCTGAATTGGATGTCAGGAGGGTGTTGCTTTATTTATGGACTATTGTAGGTGAGCTAGTGCCTTTCCAAGGGCAAGTGAAAGACAGTGTGAATGGGAATTACAGATTCACGTGAAGCCCTATGACCTTTGTATGCTGGGCTTCCCGGGACTCACGCTGGGGACTGATGGCCCCTGGAGAAGTTGGAGGAAGACCTTTTGGCCTGCGTCAGGGCTTTGTGATAAGTTGATGCTGGTTATTTCTTTGGGGGCAGCATCTGAACACAAGTATCATTTGTCTGCCATCAGGTGAGAACACTGCCTGGGTGGTGGGACCTGGTATGGACTTAAGAGCTTGTGTAGAGTGACCTCTGTGTGTGTGTGTGTGTGTGTGTGTGTGTGTGTGTGTGTGTGTGTGTGTGTGTGTGCGCACGCGCACGCGCGTACATGCCATAACACTGTGTGTTGATCCACAAGGATATCCCAGGGCCAACTGTTTTGTCTGATGAGAGAGTTGCAGGGCAGCCTGGGCCAGGTCCCTTCCAGGAGCTGCCTGCTGGAGTTGAAGGCTGAGTGTTGGACAGCAGTCACAGTGGCTCAGTCTGTCAGTTGGCCCCTCTCTGTCTGCCACCTTGCACCTTGGCTTTTATCAGTTTTTCTACCATCTCCCTATCTGTTAAAATTTATTCTCTCACAATTTTATAGCACACACGTATACTATACAAACACACACATATAATATTTGGGGCATTCTCTCTTACCCCTTCCCCCACCCACCGAGTGCCCTTCTACTTTCGTGTTTTTGTTTTGGAGGTGTGTGTCTCCAAACTGCATTTAGTTAGGGTTGCTTGCATGGGTGTCTGTGTTATTATTTACTTGAGCAAGCATAACTTATGGGTGGCTACATCTCTGACAAATATGGTCACCCCTTCCTGGGTAAATGTTAGTTGCCTATTGTTCTTCAGAAGCCCCTCTCCCATCTGTGATGGAGTGTTAATAGTCACAGTCGTGAGTGCAGGTAGCTGTTGCTGTTATGAATTCATGGGCAACAGCTGTGTCTAGAAGAAAGCATTTCCCAGCATTCCTCCCTATTCTCTGGTTCCTAAATTCTTTTCCTCTTGCTTTTTGCAGTGTTCTGGCGGGGGTGACATGGCTGCTGCATTTAAGGCTGGCCCTCAACACTTTGACCACTTATGAGTCTCTACGTTAATCCATGTCCACTACAAACAAACTGGCTCAGAATAGTACTAATCTGTAGTATAAACATAAATATTTAGAAGGCACTTTGAGTCTATTTAAGAGAACAACACTACTAATAGGAGCCTATAATCTCCCCAGCCATGGGATTTTAGCCTAGTTCACAGAACTAAGTAGGAATTCTTTCTGTGGAGTAGGTTTAAAGTTGAATTCAAAAAACAGTTGAGCTGGACAGTGTAGCACACACCTTTAATCCCAGCACTTGGGAGGCAGAGGCAGGTGGATATCCTGGTTCAATGCCAGCCTGGTCTACAGAGTGAGTTCCGGGACAATAAAGGTTACACAGAGAAACGCTGTCTCAAAAACAAAACAAACAAAACCAATCAGCCAAACAAACAAAAAGCAGTTGATTACTAGCATAACATTCCCACCAAACTCCTTCAGCAGGCAGGCTTAGCTGGTTTGTTGCTACTGTATCTTGTAGAGTTCATAGTTTGGTAAGACTTGATGTCTTTTCTTCCCATAGCCTGCAAAAAACCAAGTAATGTAGTTTTAGCTTTTTGAGAAACCTCTACACTAGTCTCCATAGTGGTTGCATCAGTTTAAACTCCCAGGGTCTTTTATTCTCCCCAACCTCCCCGCCCCAGAACTCACTATGTAGATCAGACTGGCCTTGAACTCATAAAGATCTGTCTATCTCTGCCTCCTGATGTTCGGATTAAATGCTTGCACCACCATGCCTGGCTCATGTATTTTGCTTCTGTAGAAGCAACATCTGGAATCTCCCAGTAAGTAAACGTTCCTGGTCAAATGGCTTGGTGACTAGCTGGCTGGTGGTCACACTGCTAGTAGCAGGCAGGTGTGTCTGACTCCCGTGTTCTCCCCCAACCCCTTCTTATGCCTACATGGCTCAAGCAACTGTCCTCTGGGTTGGATCTGGACCTTGGCCCTCCACTCAATTTTGGGAATCTCAGGAACCCTGAGAGGTGCAACCCTTTCTCTCCAGCAGGGCTAGGGAACAGTCTTCCAGAGTTCAGAGTTTTCCCAAACCAAGAGAGTGGGGTGGGAGCTATAGGGCACTGTGATGGGCAAAGAAAGGGAGCAAATGGCTGCCAAGACCTAGAGAAAGTGTGGAGCTTGGGGCTGAAGCACTGGCTTTGGGAAGTGAAGAGGCAGGGCTGCTGCTGGCCCCACTCCCAGCTCTGCACTGAAAACTCAGAATCTGAGTAAGATCCTCATGATGTGTCTGCCCTGAGTTGCAAGCACACTGGATGCCATAGAGCAGGCAGATGAGAACTTACAAAGTGAGCAATCTGGAATTCAGTAGCAATGGAGCAGGAAAGAAATTGGCATCCTATGTGCTTGTCTCTGGGGTCAGGCAGAGCTCCCAGAGCTGGTGGTTGGGTCTTCTTCTGGAGCCAGGCTTGAAATGTGGGGCTGAGGACAAGGCTCTGAGGTTTCCTGCACTTGAGTCTCTTCTGCTGCTGATTGGGTATGGGATTTGGTACCCCTGGGATGACCATTAAGGACCCTGATTTAGTCAGCTCCAAAGCTGTCAGAGAAAGTCAGTGCATAGAAATTGATCATTATTATGTTACAGTTAAGACCTTGTTTGGTGTCTGGACTTCTCAGATCAGCATCTGGAGGGACAACTGGACACTTTCAATAGCTTCCGGGGCTGACCACTTGCCTGTCTATGTTACATGAACAGATGGCCCATATTATGCTCAGGTTTTGGTGAGACCTGGGGTCATTTCTTTGCCCACAGGAGAAAGCCTTCTATGTCAGCCTGGCTCCAAGGTCACCTGCTCATGAGGGACAACACCACCCTCTGGCTTTTCAGACCTCTTAAAGCATCTTACTCAATTTTGGGATGAACCTTCATTGCATTTTCTTGTCTGTCTTCAGTAAATGGAGAGGGCTGAGCATAGACCATCTGTGCCTCTCTTCTCATCCCAGGCATCAGAGCAGTGACCAGGGCTTGTATGACTACCAGAAAATTCAACTTCAAAGCCTTAACGGTTGAGGATTTTGTATTGAATTAAGAGATGCTTTCTGGGGAGAGCTGGCTGAGCTATCTTGCTTCTATCCTTACAGCTTACTGCTCTTTTGGGGTGAGTCTCTTAATTGTGATTGTTGTTGTGAGAATTCCTTCTCTATGGAGACAAAGGCAACATTTCCCTCCACCTTGTAAGGACCTTTTGATGGAGTTCACTGTCTGCCTGGTCTCACAGCTCTTTAGCCCCCAAAGAACCACACTGAGGCTTATAATAGTTATAAACTGTTTGACCCATGGCTCAGGCTTCTGATTGGCTAGCTCTCTCTTAATTAATAA